GCAAATGAATAAGGAAAAGGTTCCTTTTTCTTGTGTTAAAATAGCAGAACAGTACGAACATGAAATTAATTTTACCCTCCATATCATTGTGAACTTTAACCTATCGAAAGTGTTTGGTTAGTAGTAAAGGGTGAAGTTGCACATTCAGATTCACATCCAAACCTTTTATCTATTCAAAACAAACTATTAGATGCATTTAAATACAAAATTACCTCACAAGTTATTATCGGGCTTTAGAGAAGAGCGTTAAACAATGCTAAAGAATATTTTGCATTTGACAAAAATGCACAATTAATTGACGATGAATTTGATAATTATAGTAGTTCTGATAATGATCATGTGATTTGATTCAATTTTCACATTTTTATACTTTCCGATACATATTAACATTGTTTAAATAAAAAAGAAAAAGTTATTTAATAAAATTTTTTTATTGGTGGTTTTTTTCAGTGTACAAATGTTTTTGCACCGGATTATATATCCTAATATTGATACATATTCAAATAGATTGTAATTTAACAAGTTTTAAAATATTAGTTTAGTAACTAAAATTAAATAACTCAATGATTTTTAAATTGAGGATCAGTGTTTTCACAAATAATTTGATTACTAATTATATATGCATTTCGTTTTTATATATAATCATAAGAAATATTTAGAGGTTAATTTACATGAATAATTGATTCAATAATTTAGTATTTTTATAATACTATATTATCTTACTTTTGCCTAACATCTTCTTCAAAACAAATTTGTATACAGTTAAATTTTGATACCCCTCCTTCATTTCTTTCTTTCGCCTCTCATAACATTCGTAGTTTCACTAATATCACCAAACAACATATACTTTTAAAACACTATTTATCACTTAATATAGATGTCATCGGTTTACAAAAAACTAACTTTCATCAATTACATTGCAAACCCTTCCTTGATATAATGAATTTTTAAATCAAATATATTAAATATAATATAACTTACTATAATGAATTAACCAATAAAATTCTTTAAAAAATTCATTATAACTTTATAATGAAGTTGGAATCCAAACCCTAGAGTTTATTCTATTAAAAGTTTACTATAATATTTTTTATTTTGTTTTTTTAGAATGCTACTGATCTTTTAAGATAAATATTATAAATATTATATTATAAACATATTTAACATAATATATAAAGTACTTGATAATATTTTTATTACTATATAAAAAGGTGTTAATAGAGTTAACATTTTAGAAAGAAGACTAATAAATATATAAAATATTTAATTAATTGATTATTCGGTTATTTATTATATATAATATATTTAAATTGAATAGATATTAAAAATTACCTTTATTCAGATTAGTTTATTTCAAATAATAATCATCAGTTTTATTATTTTTATTTTATAAATAATAAATAAATAAATAATTGTAATTTTTAATTTATATAGATGATTTCATATAAGTTAAGTAGACTTAATATTAAGTAGAATTTGTATAACTTTGAAAATTTTAATGTACATTAAGCATCTCTAAGATTTTCTATTTATTAAAAGTTAACTTTAAAATAAAATGAGATTTGTAATCTGCTTTTTAAATATATCAGTAGTAGTAAGTGCTTTAATAATACTAAGATAAAATATATAAATATAACATAACATATATAAAATTTTTATAAATTGAACAGCTATTATTATATTGGATTTATTATCTGTAATAATAACAAAAAGTTTTGATTAAACTGAAATTGTTTAATTATTTAATTTATAATATTTTAATATTTTCTTTAATATTAATTTTTTTATATACTAATAATACTAATAAGATTTCTTTGAATAACTAATTAATAGGATCTAACTATTATTACACACAGTTTGAAATGATTACAGATTATAAATAAAAGAAAAAGGTAAGCAGAAGGTTTATTTATTTAAAGGTTAAATGTTTTTATTGATAACAAATAAAATCTAACATAAATCTATGTAAATAAGGTATTGCCTCAATCTTTAATGTTCTATAAGATCAAATACGTAATTTATTATATATACTTTTATTATTTGTTACAAATAAAAGGAAAAGGTGAATGCTATACTAATATTATCTATTGAATTATGTAGGAAATGTGTTGAACATACTTGAGCAAAATTCTATCTACTTAAAATCCAGCAAAAACTAATTTTTTAGAGACCTTTTTGTCTTTAAAATATAAAAAATATAATGGCTTGATGGCTTGATGGCATATTGGCTAGAAAACAAATTGGTTAGTAAGCAATTTGGCTAGAAGACAATTAGGCTATTGATCTATAAAAAGTTTAACTAAATACTAACAGAAACTTTAATTTATACTAAAGAAAAATAGCACACAATATCCTGAAACTAATAGAATATGATCAAACAATTTAATTATTAATATACAGTAAACTCTTGATATAATGAATTCTAGGATCTGAATATCAACTTCATTATAAGCTTATAACGAATTTTTTAAAGAATATAATTGGCTAGTTCATTATAATAAGATAATTTTAATATATTTGATTTAAAAATTCGCTATATCAAGAGTTTGCTATATTAAGGTTTGACTGTATGATTGAAAGAAGTTTGGCTTCATTTTCTTCGATTATATGTCTTGCATTTTCAACCTTTTCAATATCGGATTAGTATTTGTTGATGAACTGATTCATTTGTTAGAAATTTTTAAAACTCATTTTGTAAAATTTAAGATTTTAACAAAAGGAATTTAGGTCTTTTTATACTTTTAACAATGTTTATTCCAAATGAATCACAGGATTCCAATTTTGTCGATCATTGTAAATCTTCAACAAACTTGCGTTGATTGGTGTTTTAAGAATTCGTTTATCTGTAGATCTTAACTTATAAGCCCCATTCAACAATTTCTCATGAATATAAAATGGTCCTTTCCATTTATCTTCTAATTTTCTAGTCTAAGTCTTTTCTTTTGCAGCTTTGTACAATAGGACTTTGTCTCTTATTTGATATTCTATGGGTTTCTTTATTTTCAAATCATGCAGCCTCTTTTGATTTTCCTGAGCTTTTGTGACATTATCTTTTGCTTTCTGTCGATTTATTTCTAAATCTTCTAAATTTGATTCCAAAGTTTCATTTTCAA